GATGGTCTAACATCAATCGGTTCATGATCTCAATCAAAAAAGTGAATATCAGCTAAAGTCTCCAACCAAGTAGTTGGCATCTACAGAGTTCAGACCAGTACTCGATAATTATATGGTACGATGTCATGTTTTAATTTGTTCAACTCTGGCTTTATTCCGAACTACTTTGACATCAGAAAATATTGACAATTGAAAAGAGTGCTAGTTAGATATAAGTAATAAATACATGACCTCATCACTGCAGTCAACGAAAATTTACTAACTCATTAGTCGTTTTGCCATCTTTTCCTATACCGTATGCCTAACTGAAGTATTGTTCAATCATTCGTTTAGCGATATGTGATCAGTGTTTATAAGACGTCTATGACCGAAGACCTGAGACCTGAACATACCTCCTAAATTAACAGAACATGTTTCACAACCATACAGTAATAAAGAGCGGACTGCTATTGAGTAAACTCGGCTTCTGGGAGGACATCTTGCCTACATCATAGATAATGTAACTTGATAAAGGCCAAGTGGACTTTCTAGGTCTGTGCTACGATCATATTAGACACCAATCCACAAGGGCTGATCTTCGTAAATTTTGACTAATACTGTTTTGTACTTAGAATATTCTATACTACTGACTTCATTTGTTAACTGAATATCCCCAACGTAAACAGGTGAGGCTGGAATCGTAATAATATTAATGGATGTTGCAATTTGAAGATCAGTTTCCGTTATGATCAAGTATGAATGTAGTCAATAAGTTAACTGACTTAACATAGACAAAAACTTTATGATTCTGTTTGACAGTTTCAATCAATAACAAAACATATCTCTATGGTCTCGATAGAATTCACACTCTTTTATAGAGGGACTAAAGCTTATACGATTTTCAAAGTTAAAAGCTAGTTAATGCTACTTTTGATCTATGTACAAATGAGTCAGCTAGTCAGTCAGTTAAACACAACATGGAACCAGATATATGTATACAACGGTTCAAGTTGCCATAATCCTATTAGCATAGTGAAATGAGATGGTGGAGAAGATTTGTTATTTATTATTTATTTGAACACATAAATATTGGTACAAGAGGGCACCAAATATATATGCGCCACACAATAACTATGAGAATTCGAAGAGAAGAAAAAAGAAAGTAATGAGCGTTAAAAACAAAGAACAATAACAAACAGATTAGTGTAAGGTAGTGCAATAATAATAATAATAATAATAATAATATAATAATAATAATAATAATAATAATAATGTGGGAAACGGAAAGGTACAATCAGAAGAAATCTTTCAGTTAAGGAATAAACAACCACTTTTATGAAGAAAGTAAAAGAAGGTTACAGCAGGATCGCCACTGGCTTCTATTCTGAGCCATATCTGATAACGTATCTAGCCACTGTGTAGCACCATCTCTCGGACCCCAACCAGGGAGTCGTGAAGGACCAACACAAGCCAGTCCTTTGCAGCTTTCTTTCATGCCACGACACCATGTCATGCACTGACCACCTCTCTGCTTCTTCCAACCAGTCCCAGAGTCGGCAAATAATGCACGACGTGGAATTCTCTGGGACGACATTCGTAGAACATGTCCAAGCCACCGAAGTCTCCGTGCCTGAACACACGATGCCGAACCTCTGCATTACTGACATGGTGTTGCCACTGAATGTCAGCAATCCTTCGGAGACAGCGATGATCGAACACAGAGAGTCGTCTAACGTCCTCAACTCGGAGAGGCCAGGTTTCACAAGCATAGAGCAAAACTGCTCTCACCGACGCGTTGTAGATCCGACCTTTTACAGCCAGACTAACATCACGAAGGCGCCAAAGGTGGCCCAGATTGGCATAAGCCGCTCTGGCTTTCACTATTCGTGCATTGATCTCATCACTCACACCCCCACCAGCACTTATGCAGCTACCCAGATACACGAACTTCTCAACTACGTCTATCTGCTCACCATCCAGGGTGAGTACAGGATTAGAATCCTGCCAGTCTTGTAGAAGTACTTTGCACTTCGAAGGTGCAAAGCACATACCATACCTACGGACACTGATTGCCAACTGATTAAGTGCGGATTGCATGCCTTGGGCATTATCGCACAGTAAGACAATATCGTCCGCATACTCAAGGTCGAGAAGTCTTTCTCCAGGCAACAGATCCACACCACCATTACTTACATTCATCAGAGCTGTTTCCAGAATGTCATCGATGGCAAAGTTGAAGAGGAATGGTGAGATTGGGCAACCCTGCCTAACCCCACTGCTCGAATGGAACAATGGAGAGAGGTGGTTGTATGCCCTCACTCTGCCTGAGGTGTTTTTATATAGGGCTTTTAGGATGTTAATAAACTTCTCAGGCACACCCTTCTTCAATAGACAATCCCAGAGAACAGTCCTGTCCAACGAATCGAAGGCAGCCCTGATGTCAAGAAACACTACGATTGTTGGCCTTTGAAAGTATGGCGGTGTTCTAACATTTGGCGGAGGGTGAAGATATGATCAATACATCCTCGACCAGAACGAAACCCAGCCTGCTCCTCGCGAGTCAATCTTTCTCGGGTTTTGAACAACCTACGAAGAATGACGGAAGCCAATAGCTTGGACGCAATCGGAAGTAGACTTATCCCCCGATAGTTGTTACAGGAACGACGTGAACCCTTTTTAAAGATAGGGACAACTATCGACTCATTCCATGACGTTGGTACACTCTCTAGTTCCCAAACCTTTGTAAACAACGTCGTCAATTCCTTAGTCAAAAAGTCACCACCATCTTTAAAAAGAGCCGGAGGTAAGTCATCTGGGCCAGGTGATTTGTAACGCTTCAAGAGTTGGAGTTCCTTGCGGACTTCCTCCTCGTTTGGTGGATCAGTCGTCACCGGCCATGGAGGGCAGGACAGTCTGACCGATGTTGCCGGAGCAGCAGGCCAGTTGAACTGCCCTTCGAAAAATTCTGCCCATCGTCCAAGACGTCGATGGATGTTAGTGATTGGCATCCCATCATCCTCGCAGATTGTTTCACTCACACCAGACTTCTTGCTGCCAGTGGCTCGGATGAGCTGGAAGAGCTTCCGGTAGTTACCAGATGCAGCTGCTGCTTCCAGCTCATTAGCACGCATCGACCACCAGGCTTCTCGGTCCTTACGCAAGCTTTGCCCAATTTCCTTACGTAACATCCTTCGTTTATGGTCAAACTCACGGTCACCCGGAGTAGACCGACGGGCTTCAATGAGTTGTAAGGAACCAGAAGAAACCCAGTGCTTAAAGCGGGACGTTTCGCAAACCCACAACTGACTGTTCCCGCCATTTTCATGGCGTCATGCAATTGCAACCAATGCTCATCTATACTTTTCGGTGGAGTGGTAGCTAGCCTAGAGGCTAGCTCGGTTCGATACTTACTTGCAACAGAAGTTGCAACCAGCTTGCTAACATCAATCCGTTGGTGGGGTCACTTCGTTGTCCACTGAAAAGTAAGGCAAGATTGGCGCAGACCAAGGCATGGTCAGAGTCCAGATAGGTACTCCAAAAGGAGCGGCAGTCTTGTACACAACCACGCCAGCGGTAGCTGATCGCGATGTGATCAATCTGAGTCCAGGCTTGAGATGCAGAGGGAGGACGCCAGGTGGCACATCGGCGATGACTGTGCCGAAAGTTAGTGCTAGCCAGAAACAGGTTGTGGTCTGTGCACAGTTGCAGTAGACGGTCCCCGTTATCTGACCTGCGACCAACAAGTCCCCATCGGCCGACTGAACGACTCTTCTGTGCCTAGATAAGCGCACGTAAAACAAGCTTTTCGAAGCGACAGATAGAGAACGAATTTGTAGTACCTCGCCAGAGTCTTGAATACGGGTCTCGGATAGACAGCAAACATCGATATTAAGACTTTCTAAAGACATAGCCAGCCCTATCTGTTGTCCAACCTGCATAAGTGTGCGAACGTTGAAGGCAGCCAGTTTGAATGGTGCACGTGGTTTCGGAAAAAAATGATTCAGTATTCGTATCTGCTGGTAGCATACAATTTTCAACCAGGCAGTGACTCGAGAACGTTTAGATAGAACCGAGTTTCCACCATAGGCGAGCTGCTGTATAAGTCGAAAAATAAGGATACACAGAGTGGGAATAAAAGAGAGTGAATAAGTGACGTCAAGATAATAATAATAATAATAATAATAATAATAATAATAATAATAATAGTAATAGTGTGAATCATTTGATTGTTAATCGAAGCAAGACAAGTATTTTCCATAAATATCGACATTTCATCATATTTGTGTGTGGGCTGTGATACTGCCTGGGTGCCCAAACCGAAGCAGGTGGTTTTCTTAGGGGGGCCACACCACGAGCCTTGAACCTAAAGGTGTGACCCACAAGGCAGTGGAGCATCGTGAGGAGATGCAGTCCCATGGTAGCCGGTGACCAACGATTGGTTCATACGCCATTTGTTCCCGCAGGATACTGGAGCCCATGTGCACCATTGGTTTGGGATCCGGTTAAAGCGCCGGACATTTGCCTTTCGTCCTCTCAATTTTGTAATCAACAGTAATGCCACGAGAAGGCAGTGAGTAGGAATTCCCTGGCAGAGGCTGTGTGAGAACATTTCGAGAGGGAGGGCGGACCCACCCCACTCTCGGCCATACCAGGGCATTTGGTAGTTCAGGTGGATGATTTTGCTGGAGTTTTGTTCTCTGAGCTAGATAGACTTCTATCTGAAGTTTGTGCTGATGATGTCGTTCAAAAGAAAGATGAAGGCTCCATGACCAAACCATCTAGCTCAAAGAACAAAACTCCATCAAGAAAATGTAGTGAGATGATACTATCAAAGCAAATCCTAGAGTATTAGAAGTAGCAATACTATTGGTGATTATAGAAAAGATTAAGAATTGAGACAATATAGGTCATCATTAACGTATCATAGAATAATGAGTTAGATGCATTAACTAACAAAATAACTAGCTATCTAATTAACTAAATGATTGATAACAACTTACAAACAACAACAATGAACTTACTTGAATAGAACCTTTCTTCGGTATATGATAACCTTTATTACTAGGTAATTGTTTTAAATCAGCATAGCCTAAATACGGTGATGGTGCATTATCATCAGATAAATTGAAAAAATATGCTTTCATTGGAAGACGTATATGATTTGGATAGAATGAACCACTAGCGCCTAATTCAATTGAAAATCCTTCAACTTGTCCAACTGGATGTATACGTCCATTAAGCATACTTTCCTATATGTGTGTGTATTTAGAGGGTGAATAAAAACAACAACAAAGCAAAACATATATGATATATAGATGTGAGGGGATTACAAGATCATAGATAGAAATATGCGTAAAATATTGATGACAAATGAAGTAGTGTGAAATTATTTTCTAAGGAATCATGTAAGGTGTTGAGTCAGTGGATTGTACCATCTCTGTAACCCCAATGTCATGTGTATCAAGTCCTTTTTAGTGTAGATCAAATGCTACAGGTACAACTTGCTGACGGGTGCCAAAGAGCACGAAAACCAAGTCCATGGTTTCCTGTTGACTACCTCCAACCACCATCTAATCTCAACACAGTGCATACAGTGTCGAGTCACCTAGACTAGTAGCCACATTGCAACTTGGCCAATAACATCTAATCTACACTAAGAAGAACTTGACACACATGATATTAATCACCACCCAGTGATCAACCAAATGTGAATAACTATATGAGAATCACTTTGTTGGTTAATATTACCAGTTGTTTTTTAATACATTACAACTAATGACAAAATCATAAGGTTAATTTGGAATATGAGTAATTTCAGTATGCGGTAAATATAATTCACATGATTAAGTCGGTATTTCTATAAAACATATATATATATTCCTAAAATAATTCAACTGTTTAATTGTTTACTGTACTGTATACATATATATTAATGACATTCTCCGAGATTGTAAATAGGAAGTAATCATTTGTGAATTTAATCAAATAGGAAGTAAATACTATAATACTTGTTAACTATACACCCTTAATGAAATGGTATCTCGTATTGATTACCAGAATTCAACTCTACGATTTGAATTCAATACGACTCTTGTTTTATTTATTTTAACAAATAGATATCGGTACAAGAAGGCACCAAATACATATGCGCCACACAAATCTCATTTGATTTTGTGTGAGTGCTGTGATACTGCCTGGGTGCCCAAACTAAACCAGGTGGTTTTCTTAGGTGGCCACACCCGGAGCCTTCGACCTGAAGGTCTGATCCACAAGGCAGTGGATCAAAGTAAGGAGATGCAGTCCCATGGTAGCCGGTGACCAACGATTGGTTTATACGCCATTTTTTCCCGCAGGATACTGGAGCCCATGTGCACCATTGGTTTGGAATCAGGGTTTTCCAAATCCCCTAGGTGGACTCTCCATGTCCACCAACCCGGTCAAAGCGCCCGACATTCGCTTTTCGTCCTAACATTTTCGTTAACAACACCCCCGCCACGAGAAGGCAATGAGTAGGACTTCCCTGGCGGAGGCTATATACTCGTGGCCATATTTGGTTGATTACATATGATCAATCCAAAACTACGGATTACTACCATGTTTCTGATTAAAATCACGAATTAATTGATGTTAGACCACCATTAAAAACCTGGAAGTCTTGGATGGTTATTTCATCCTAGCATGGGACTACTCAACAGTGCACATCCACGATCCTGTTCGTACCGTACCGTACTATTTACCCGGCAAACATTAAGAACTCATTATTTTAACTAATGTAATATTTAGTTCAAGAAACCAATCAAATTTCAGATTCTCAAGCCATTAACTTCACTTTTCAAATAAAATATTGAAAAAATAGGGCTTTCTAGCATGAAAATGTACTATTCAACTTTGAAGAAGTGAACTAATTCAATTATCAGAAATAGGGTTTTGTATTAATTGTGGTAGTTTAAGAGTTGAATTCATGAGTCGATTAGAGCTAGACCACCATGGTTAACCTAGATCCATTGGACGGCCGTTTCGTCCTACTGTGGGACTCCTCGGCAGTGCATATCCACGATTCACTCGCGGGATTCAAACCTAAGGTCTTCGGTCTCGCGTGAGAACGGTTAACCTATAGACCACTGGGCAGGCCGGCGTTCAACAGTGTTATTGTGTAACTTCAACCAATCCACGAAATTGCACCACCATCCACCATTTTCTTCAGTGAATCACCGCCTCACAACAGACCTGATTGAACTCCACTGGTCACGACTTCTCACTAGAACTCCAGGAAATACCTCTTGAAGACAGTTACTAATGAGCAGATCTTGAGTGAGCACCACTGAGGAACACCACATTAGGACGAAACGACCATCCAGTGCTTCCACGTTTTTTTCATAGTGATCTAACTTTAATTGACTCATGAATTCAGTTATTAAATAATTCAATGCATAATAAAAGGAAACATACACACACACAGAAGGAAGAATCAGAAAACCGATATATGATTCAAAGAAGAGATCAATGATGGTATTTTTTTCGTAGTTCTTTTTACTATAAATTTTATGCTTGATCATATGATATACACAATAGTATCACATGTAAACTAATTGTGTATGAATCAAGGAGAAAATAGGCTTCTTTGTATTTCAATAATAATAATAATAATAATAATAATAATAATAATAATAAACAAAACGACCAGGGAAGTTAGCTGCATAGAAACATTCTTCTTAGTTAAATATATAAAGGTATAAATCACTTGGGTTAGAATCATATTCACTAAAAGTACTTCTATGAACTGTGTATTCGTACGTTTTAGGTTGTTACAACAACAACAAAAAAAAACCGATTTTTTTCTCTCTCGCTTTTTTTGTTTCTAAGAGAAACTAGTATGTTAAGGATAGGGATTTTGTGATCTGTATATAAACAACAAATATGGTTTTATTTTATAAGCAAAGATGAATGGCGTCTAGTAGTAGAATGGAGTTTAACGTGTGTTTCGTCCTATTTGAGACTCGTTAACTGAATGTACGTGTTCACTCTGAGACTCGAATCCACTACCGTTGGGAAGATATAAGTAAACAATATCAAGTGAAATATAGTTTTTAATATAGGTCTAAAGAAAACATTGGGAGTAATATTTATTGTATGTTTAAAATGTCGATGTTCAAAATGTACAACAATAATTCAACGATCATTAGTTGATGATGAATATAGAGAATAAAACGGTCTGTAGCTATAGAGATTTTAGTAAAGTAGATAGTATAACTAGTTCCTGTTAGTTAGCCATGGCATAGATAGCACAACACCTTGGAACTAAGCATTTTACTAGTTGGGACTTGTCAAGAAGAGATATTTGAAGTATTAGGTGAACTGATGATCCTTGTGAGACTTGGATCGGCATCACTGAGCATCATTTGAGCCATAATTAACCTCCTGTAGGATAGAGATATGTAAATTGTTTAAGCATTGAGTAATGAACAATATCGTGTTTGTCTAGTTATTTAGTACTGATTGAGTTTTGTTAATTGTAGGCACACGTTGCTGATGAATACTAACTAGCACGAACCATAGATACAGGATTTACTGTGGACTACTTACAAACACCGAAAAACAAAATAAAATGAACACAACATCGAGTCACTAAGACTAGTAACCATATTGCGAATTGACTAATAGGATTCGATGAACACGGTGAGACTAAACAAAAATAACGTTGGTTATTAATCAACGATCATTTAATTATAACTAGTTCGTCTAAACATTAATTGTAACTAGTAGTAGCCTAGCATATACAAATATGAAAATGTTTGTTGAATTAAACTACTTCGCACTAGACAAAGAAAGTGATAGATATCACTGATCCCCTGACATACATACACCGAATACATATGCGCCACGCAAGCCAATTAATTTGTGTGTGTGATACTGACTGGTTTTTCTTGTGAGGCCACTCCCTGAGCCTTTGATCTAAAAATCTAATCCACAAGAGAGTGGAGCGACGTCAGGAGATACATCCCTATGGTAGCCGATGGCCAACAATAGGTTCATACGCCATTTGTTTCCTCAGGATACTGGAGCCGATGTGCACCGTTGGTTAGGAATCAAGGTTTTCCAACTCCCTAGGTGGATCATCCGTATCCACCAACCAGGTTAGAGCGCCGGACATTCACTTTTCGTCCTGTCACTTTCGTAAATAACATTAATGCCACGAGCAGGCAGTGAGAAGAACTTCCCTGTCAGTGGTTGTACATGCGTGGTCATGTGCATTTGGAGATGGAGAGATGATTCTTCCCACCCTCGGCCGTTCCAGGACATTTAAGGGCTGACAGTATAATAAATAAATGAAAATTGCCTATAAGATCATAATTTTCATCGAAATCTTATTTCAAGCTCTAACTGTCACTGTATCTGCCTTTCGATTTGCTCATTCAATAAGTTGGAATAACTTACAGTAGAATGTTCATAAAAGACAATATATGTATAACTTTAGAATAATTAAAATAAAGTCCTCAACGTAAATCACATTTTTATATGCAACATTCCCCTTGCTAAATAAACAGAAAAAAAATGCTCGATATCCAACTGTTCTTGAGAACTCCTTACCCTCTCCTCATACTATTTAATATAATGCCATTTTACAACTAAACAATACACATGGATATTATAACAATACCAAAGTTGGACTTGATCATTTCAATTAAATTGAGTATTGGGTAGAGAGTTGATAATAAGTATACAATTTGTTTATATCCCAATGATAGGTGATTATATTTCTGATATTAAATTACCACAGGTTTAAATAGTGTTAATTTATTTCCGGTTTTTTTTTTATTGACTCATGAATCGATTGATGTAGACCACCATTTAAAAACCTGGAAGCACTGGACGGTTATTTATTTACTCTGAAGAAGTAGATTACATTAAGTCATG